AATATACACATACACAAATAAATAAAAATCCACAATTAAATGTAACAATTAGATGGCACATAATACAATACCAAATATTATATTCTAGAGTGGGGCACTATGACTCATACCTTTCATCTTAGCTTTTGTTTTTGGTTCTGGACTTGAACTTAGAACCTGGGTAGTGTCCCTGAGCATCTCCTTCCAGCTTTTTGGTGGTTAACTGGAAGAGTCCTATGGACTTTCCTGCCTGGATTGGCTGTTGATGGAAATCCTCAGCTCTCAGCCTCCTGAGATGATAGATGTAAGCCACCGCACCTGGCTCCAGTTTGGTTTTTATCCACAATTTTTTTTTGGGGGGGTCCAGTCGTGGGGCCTTGTACTCTGGGCCTGGATGCTGTCCCTCAGCTCTTCAGCTCAAGGCTAGTGCTCTACCACTTGAGCCACAGTGCCACTTCCGGCTTTTTTCTTTTTGCTTATGTGGAATCAAACCCAGGGCCTCAGGCATGCAAGGCAAGCGCTCTACCACTGAGCCACCTTCCCAGTCTCCAGTTTGATTTTGATGAAACCATTTAACAACATTTGCCATCCTCACATTCCCTGAGGCCAGGATTCACCACATGGCCCAAACCAAACCCCGGTAAGGGAGAGCAGCACTGGGATTTGAACTTTGTGTTTCACACTTGCTAGGCAGGCGCTCTACCAGTGAAGCAATATCCTCAGCTCTTTACACTTCCATTACTCTTCTAAGAGTCTCCTGTTTTTGCCAGGAACAGCCTCAGACAGCAGTCCTCCTACCCACAGTCTCCCATGTGGCTGCGATCACAGAACCATACCACATCAGACTTACAAGTTGGTAGCTTGCCAACTTTTCCTCCACACCGGCCTTGAACTATAGTCTTCCTGGTCTCTGCCTCCTCGGTAGCTGGGATTACAGAGGTAAACTACCACATTCTGCTCTGGAGAAGCATCTTAAAGTGAGAACACGGGGTGTTCAATCACCGCCATCCATCCACTCCTTCTCCCATTCTGTACTGTAGGCCTGATGGCTGGATCCACAGCAGCCATTTTTCAGCTAGGACAGTAAGGCTGGGAAGTCTGCAGAGACCACGCTACTGGTGTCCTTGAGATGGAGGGCCAGGAATCAGCAGCACTTAAATTCCCTCACCTGAAAACAATAATCTCCTTCCCTGTTCAAGCTTCTATGTCACAGGATGTCTATTTCTTGTAATTCTAAACTGTGACAACCTAAATGGACTAGCCTACCAAGACAAGTTTAAACTGTTTTAAATTATCCTCAAGTAGTTGTACAAAGGGGTTTCAATTCAAAATGCCAATTTCTGAGCAAAAAGCATCATGATCAGCGTCACCTGTCAGTCATTCTCCCCCATCTCTCACAGGGAAGATTTAATAAATTCCCAAAGTGATCAATGCCAAGACAACAGAAAAGAAAGTGGTCACAAACATTTTCTACCTCACCCCAGTTAGAATGGCTATAATCAAGAGATCTAATAACAACAGATGCTGGAGGAGATGTGGCCAAAAGGGAACCCTACTGCATTGTTGGTGGGAGTATAAACTTGTTCAACCACTCTGGAAAGCAGTATGGAGGTTCCTCAAAAGACTCCACATAGAGTTCTCCTATGACCCAGCAATCCCTCTTTTGGGCATTTACCCAAATGTTTATAAACAAGACCACACTAAAGCTATCAGCACAAGTATGTTTATTGCAGCATTATGCACCATAGCTAAGATATAGAACCAACCCAGATGCCCTCAGTAGATTAATGGATCAAGAAAATGTGGTATATATACACAATGGAATTCTATGCCTCCATCAGAAAGAATGACACTGCCCTATTTGTTAGGAAATGGAAAGACTTAGAAAAAATCATATTAAGTGAAGTAAGCCAGACAAAAAGAAATACAGGTCCCATGGTTTCCCTTATAATGCAATAATTAGTATAAGTCTAGGATAATCTTATCAGATGAGCAGAAAAGCTCAAAAGCTATGTACATATGACCATATAAGTTGATGCTAAGTGAAATGAACCCCAAGATATGGACATAAGAGGTCTTCTTTGTTGCGTTGTTTTTAATATACTATGTGATTTTCTTTTCTTTCTTTTGTATGTATGTCCTCCCCCCCTATGGTATATCTCCTGTTGTCACTGTATTTGATTTCAGTATCCTGCATCTGGTATAAGCATTTATCTTATTTGGGAAAGGGAAGAGGAATAACAAAATGTTGAAATAAGGACACAGAATGACCCATTCCAACAATGATACCTACAAGACACTAGGTTGGAAATGAACTATACAACTTGGGGGCGGAAGGAGGGAAGGGATAGTGGGAGAAAAACAAAGGAGGGGTAACAATGCGCCACAAGAAATGTACTCATTACCCTACTCATGTAATTGTAATCCCTCTGTACAGCATCTTTACAATAAAATAAAATAAACATTTTAGTGATTTCTTTTTCCTTTATCTTTTTCTTTTTTCTTTCTTTATTTTTGCCAGTCCTGGTGCTAAAACTCAGGGCCTGGGCACTGTCCCTAAAGTTTCTTTTGCTCAAGGCTAGTGTTCTACCACTTGAGCCACAGCACCACTTCTAGCCTTTTCTGTGATTTAATTGGAGATAAGAGTCTCATGGGTTTTCCTGCCCAGTCTGGTTTTGAACCTTGATCCTTAGATCTCAACCTCCAGAGTAGCTAGGATTACAGGCATAAGCCACCAGCGCCCAGCAGTAAATTTTTTTTTTTTTTTTGGTCGGTTGTGGGGGCTGAACTCTGGGCCCGGGTGCTGTCCCTCAGCTCTTCAGCTCAAGGTTAATGCCCTACCACTTGAACCACAGCGCCACTTCCGGCTTTTTTTTTCTGCTTATGTGGTGTTAAGGAATCAAACCCAGGGCCTCATGCATGCAAGGCAAGCACTCTACCACTGAGCCAACTTCACAGCCCCCAGCAGTAATTTTTTTTAATAATGTTAAATATCTCTTGAGCCAACAAAGCATCAAATACTAGGAATACTTTTAAAAAAAAATAGAAGTAGCTAATGACAAATTAGGAAAGAGGGGAAGGGAGGGAAGGACAGGGCAGGGCAGGGAAGCCAGGCCCCAGAGGCTCACACCTGTCATCCTAGCTACTCAAAAGGCTGAGATGTGAAGAACATGGTTCAAAGCCAGCCTTGCATTAACGACCAAGAAGCCAGAAGTAGAGCTGTGGCTCAAGTCGTAGAGCACCAGGCTTAAGCAAAGGAAAAGCTCAGAGACAAAGCCCAGGTCCAGAGATCAAACCTCAAGACTCCAAATAGAGACTTGCCCTTCCCTGCTGGGGCTGCTGTGGAGGGCAGGCCTGCCCCATGTGAGCCATGACAGAGGAAAGCAGTCAGAAGCCAGCCACTTGGCTTCCAGCTTCAGGAAGTGGGGCACATCTCCAGCAACTCTGATTCTTCTTCTTTTAGGCTGATAAAATTCTATTTAAATCGAATTTTATCATCTCCATGGGGAAATCCCTGATGAGTCCAATCACCCAAGCAGCCCTCTTGCTGAAGATAAATTCAGTAAAGAACCAAGTTCCACTAGGCACTGGTGGCTCGCACCTGTAATCCCAGCAACTTGGGAGGCTGAGATCTGAGGATGGTGGTTCAAAGCCAGCCTGGACAGGAAAGTCCCTAGGACCCTTATCTCCCATGAACCACCAGAAAACTGGAAGTGGTACTGTGGCTCAAGTGGTAAAGCATTGGCCTTGAGCTGAAGAGCTGAAGGACAGTGCCCAGGCCCAGAGTTCAAGGCCTGGGTCCAGGCACACATACACACACACACACCCAAAACAACCCACAGTGCAGAGTGTGAGCTGTGCAGACAGGAAACAGCAGGCACTGCTGACTCAAATTCTTCTAAAAACAACTCACTTACAAGAAATACAGCATTGCCCATCACCTCCCAACCCACTGCGAACAGACCGCAAGTATGTGTGAGAAAAAAGAATGGGGTAGGGGTGAGCCACTGGTACCACAAAGATGGCACAAAAGAAATGCTTCAAAGGGGGAGAAAATAAACAACTGGTTTTTCTGGAGGGGGGGGGAGTGGATCTTTTCTAGTCAGGACCAATCCCTGGACTTGTGTGTTTTCAATATTCAGTACTTGTATCTGCCATGCAGCACATGTTGGGAGAGTATCTGTTAACACATGATTCCTGGCTCCTCCGCTGCAGTGAGTGTCTCCATGCCTTCCTGGTTTCAAAGCTAAAATGGTCCATGACACAGAGTCCATGCAAATGTCTGATGCAAGCGGGGCATAGTAGCTACCACCTGTAATCCTAACTACGCAAGAGGCTAAGAACTGAGGATGGTGGTTCAAAGCCAGCCCCTGGAGACTCTTCTCTCCAATGAAGCAGCAAAATACTGGAAAAGGAGGTGTGGATCAAGTGGTAGAGGGTCAGACAAAAGTGAAAAAGCCAAGGGAGAATGAATATAAGGCCCTGACTTCCAGCCCCAGCATTGGTGCAAATAAAGAGCTCCCCCTCCTGCATTTCTCCACAGCAGTGCTGTGGTGTCCCACAATCACTGGCTCTCCTCAGCTCACAGAAAGTTCTTGTACGCCAGGCACTGTGGAGATCTTAGAACACAGGTGAAACAGATTCATCTCTGTGGGTAAAACAGTGCCCTTTGTCCCAGGAAACAGATGATAGAGCACTAATATCTCATTGCAAGCCATGTGCTGGTATGCACGCCTGCCATCCCAGCCACTCAAGAGGCTGAGATCTGAGGATCAAGATTTGAAGCCAGCCCAGGCAGGAAAAGGCTGTGAAACTCTTATCTCCAAATAGCCAGCAAAAAGCCAGAAGTGGAACTGTGGCTCAAGTGGTAGAGCACTAGCCTTGAGCATAAAAGCTCAGGGACAGCACCCAGGCCCTGAATTCAAGTTCCAGGAGAGCGCACACACACACACACACACACACACCCCTCACCACAGTGTGACCTCATGATAAGCCATTGGTCCTGAGACTGAGACACTCACCCGAGGACAGGGCCTCCTCCCGCGCCTCACCAGCGGCAGGCTGCGCGATGTTCCACGACGTTTTGGGAAGTAAAGGAATTTCTTCAGGTGATGCCAGTCTCACCATGTCCATGTGGTTGCTCTGGGACTGGTAGCGGGGAATGAAGCAGGTTTTGCCTTGTCGAAAAATGTCCCGGATGATCTCTTCCGTCTCCACCTCATCCTGCATGCTCAGAAAGATGGAGATCCTCTGGGAACGCTGGTACCGGCTGTGGGCCATCACCTGACAGGAAATGACCACCTGTTACAGTGTGCAGGGTCATACATATATAGGATATATTATACAGCATATTTCATATATTCCCATATCTATTATATACAACATACAGTATATAGTATATTTTTATATATTTAAATATGTTTATATCAATTAATCATATCTATTTATACCTATTATGTTATATATTGTATGTTATATATACTATATATTATATATGCTGTTTTGTTATACATATTATATATGTATTATATATTACATATACTATACTATATATGTTATGTTATATATATTAGATATACTATTGTATATATTGTTATATGTACTATATTATATATACTATATATTATACTATATTTTATACATTTTAGATTTGCAAAAAATATGTATATGATAGTATATATATCATTAATCTAGAATATTATTTCTTTTCAATATTACATACAATATGTTCTATATAACATGCATCATAACTATCATTAATAATTATATATAAACAAACATATACTATTATGTATGTTTCTCCAGTCCTTGCATTATCCAGAGTCTCTCCTCTCATAATTCAACTAAAGCTCAAACTTTCCTGAGCTCTCCAGAGAACCGTTCCAACTTTCAGATAGGATAAATGGACTGATGATTCAACAGAGAAATTAAAAATAATCAATATTAAAAGGGGCACATATATGGCTATACCTCCAGTATAGCTTTTTGCTGGTTGATTGTAAATAAGAGTCTCTTGGATCTCCCTGTCTGGGATGGCTTCTAACTGTGATCTTCAGATCTCAGAGTCCTCAACAGCTGGGATTTCAGGCATCAGTCATAATTCCCCACTGATTCTTTTTTTTTTCTGATTTCCTTTTTTAAATAGTAAATATACAATCAAATTTTTCCTTTTTTGAATTTTTTATTGTTATTATAAAGGTGATATACAGAGAGGTTACAGTTATATAAATCAGGTAAAGAGTATATTTCTTTTTTTGTTGTTGTTGATTGTGGGACTTGAACTCAGTGCCCGAGCACTGTCCCTGAGCTCTTTTGCTAGCACTCTACCACTGAGCCACAGCACCACTTCTGGTTTTCTGATGGTTTATTGGAGATGAGTCTCATGGACTTTCCTGCCTGGGCTGGCTTTGAACTACGATCCTCAGATCTCAGCCTTCTGAGTCACTAGGATGACAGGCATGAGCCACTAGCACCTTGCTGACAGTACATTTCTTTTTGGCAAGCGCTCTACCACTGAGCCACCTTCCCAGCCCAGTACATTTCTTTTTGGACAATGTCCCCGATTATTCTTTTAAACACTAGCAATTTCCCCCCTCTCTCTTAACTCCCTCAACCTTCTCCAGCCTCCCTAACTTTCCAGAAGCAAAGAGCCACGTGGTAAGACAGTGCTAAGCGAAGGTGCCTGACTTTTAGTGCAAGCCCCCAAGCCTTCCTTCCTGCTCCGGCCTCTGGTACACTGCGGCTGCCACCTGCTCTATGTTTTTCATTAAAGCAGGATAAAGAAAGCCAAACGCTGAATAAGCAGTAAGAAACAGTACTTACGGTTCCTTCCTCTGGTCCATTGTTACACAACATTTGTAAAGTGGTCCCAAAAAAGAAAACCCACTATAGTAATGAGAACAAGAGGAGAGATCTGTCTATGTCCTGTAAGATGTGAGGTATTTATAGACAAAACAGCAGATGCTAACGCTGTGAAAGCCGGGTACAGGGCAGGCCAAATCCATTCCTCCCTCAGCATCCCTATCACAGAGACAAAGAAGGCAGGAGATGCCGCTCGGTGAACACAGGTTTATTCACAAATACCTACAGAAAATCAAGCATCACCAAATATTCTGGAAAGTCCAAGTATAAAATAGAAGGATTTCATAATTCATCTAAAAGAGCAGAAAATGAGCCAGGAGAAGACAGATAATTCAGAGAACTGAAGTTTCTTGAAATTAGCCTCTCAGACAAACTCAGAAAGAAAAGTGAACCTATAAAACATCAATGCTGGGATGAGGCTTAGTGGTAGAGTGTTTGCCTAGAATGCACCAGGCCCTGGGTTCAATTCCTTGGTACCACACAAACAAAATTTAAGTAAGCAAAAATTCAGTAAACTTGAAAGCAATAAACAAAATTTATCATATCATATAATTCTTCTAAACACACACACACACACCTAGACAGACGGCTATAGGAAAGGCAACCATCACAATTTAAGGAATATTTCGAGAAACTAAAATAAATAAATTAAAAGTTTAGGAGGCTGGGAATGTGGATAAATGGTAGAGTACTTGCCTAACATACATGAAGTCCTAGATTCAATTCGTCAGTACCACATAAACAGAAAAAGCCAGAAATGGTGCCATGGCTTAGGGGGTAGAATGCTAGCCTTGAGCAAAAGAAGCTCAGGAACAAAACCCAGGCCCTGAGTTCAAGCCCCAGGACCAGAAGGGGAAAAAAAAAAAAAGACAAAAAAAAAAAGGCTAGGAAACATGGTAGTAAATACCTACTGGAATTTCAAGTTTGGAAATGAGCTAGAATTACAATAGATTACTACTTACGAAAAAGAGTTTAAATATGAAACTTGACAATTTAATAAGTCAAGTTTGATATCTCAATTGAGAGAGTGGAGACAAAGAGCCACTAATTCTCTCCCCTTAATTATTTGGGGAGCCAAGATAGGGTGTACAGTAGAATTTCCTCACCATGTATTTTCTGATAAAATTTTAAATTATATTGAAAACAAAGAGGCTAATAAGGATAATTTAATGGTTTAGAAAAACAAAAACACACTACTGAACACTGCTGATCATGGTGCACTGGTGTTTGGGGACGCACTGCACTGATTGGTCAGGAAATGGGTGGTGAAGGCCAGTCAGGACTTTTAGATGAAATGGACTGTAACATTAAAGTCCCTTGCATATGGAGACTAAAGGTGTCTCCCTATGGGGCTGCATTTGCTGGTGTGCTCATCCTCTCCGTGAGTCATGAGTCTGTTTTCTAATTTACCTTCTTTTACATCAGCTGTCATTCTACCACCGGCAGTGCTGCTACTGTCTAGCTAATAATATTCCCATTCAATTTTCTGTAGTGGAATCTACTATGGCCACTGCTCGGATTCTGACTGGAGACCACATGAGCCCAGCTTGAGAGTCTCAGAGGTGATCAACTCCTCTCAAAAGAAATTAAAATCAAAAATCTTATGGGCAAGAACCAAACTGAGAGGCTGGAAAGGTGGCTCAGTGGTAGAGTGCTTGAGGCCCTGGGTTGGACACCTCAGCACCACATAAATAGAAAAACTCAGCAGTGGCACTGTGGCTCAAGTGGTAGAGCAGTAGCCTTGAGCTGAAGAGCTGAGGGACAGTGCCCAGGCCCAGAGTTCAAGCCCCACAACCAACCAAAAAAAAAACTAAATCTGTGTCTGTCTGTCTGTCTCTCTCTCCCCTCGCCTTCTTCTTCTCCCTCTCCCTCTCTTTCCTATCAGTTGTGGGGCTTGAACTCTGGTCCTGGGCACTGAGCTCTCTAGCTCAAGATGAGTGTTCTACCACTTGAGTCACGGTACCACTTCTGGTTGTTTGGTGGTTCACTGAGATAAGAGATAAAGGACTTTCCTGCCTCGGCTGGCTTTGAACCTCGATCCTCAGATCTCAGCCTCCTGAGTAGCTGAGATGACAGCTGTGAGCTGCAGCCTGGCTCCTACATTTCTTACGCTTAGGCCCGGGGCTGGCGGCTTAGGCCCACAATCCTAGCTACTCAAGAGGCTCAGAGCTAAAGGTCACTGTTCAAAGCAGCCCCAGGAGGTAAAATGTCAGTGACTCACCTCATCAACTGGCCAAAAGCCAGACGTGGAGGTGTGGCGCAAGTGGTAGAGCAGTGCGGGCCACAAGCGGAAAAAGCCAAGCAAAGTGAGGCCTTGAGTTCATGCCCCAGAAAGGGCACACGTGCACCCACACGCACGTGCACACGCACGCACGATCCGAAGCTCTAAATGTGTGAATCACGAGCAGGGCCCTTCTCCGTGCTGCGCCCGTCTATTCACCCGGGGCGTTCCGCTGAACCCCCTCCCGCCCCCCACCCCCGTCCCCCGCAGTCTCCTGCTTGCTCCTGCGACTGGCTCCATCCAGAACCCGATCCAAATCCACCAAGACACCAGATTACCCTCTTCCTCGCAGTCCCGCCCTCAGCATGCCAGGCCTTCACCGGCCAGGCCTCGGGTGAGGGGGCAGCCGTCCAGCTACTCGGGAGGCTGAGATCTGAGGACAGTGGTTCAAAGCCAACCCGGCCAGGAAAGTCCGGAGACTCAGATCCAATTTAATCACGGAAAAAGCCAGAAGTGGAACTGCGGCTCAGCGCCTGCCTTGAGTGAAAGAACTCACGGACAACGCTCACGATCCCCCCCCACGGACACGCGCATGCGCACGCGCGCGCACTCGCCCGTCCACCAGGCCCCGGCCGCCCCGGACCGACCCCTCATCCCCGGCTCCCCGCAGTGGGGACCGCGGCCGTCCTCATCCACATCCGGACTGCGTTATCCGGACTGCGGCACGTCCGTGTTCGTTTTCATCCCGCGTTTGCTTTTACTGGCGGTTCTGAGATTTGAACGCGGGCACCACGGGCCGCCCTCACCCGGAGCCCCATTTACACAAACCGGAGCGAGGGCAGAGCTTCATACTCTACGGCATATACTACGTTCGACCCCTACTGCAGCACCCGGCGGTGCCTGATCGTCAATCAATAACAATAACAACGACGACGATAACTTCTCTTAAACGAACGCATTCGCGCCGACCGCCCCCGGGCCACGGGGCGCCGCACCCCTCACCCCCGCCTGTGGGAACGCTTGCCCGAGAGTACGTAAGCGCGCCAGGGTGACGCGCGCGTCCTCGGGGGAGACGTGCGCGGCTCCGCGTCCTCCGGCCCGCCACCCTCTAGGAGCCCTTCCGCCGCGGCGCGCGCACCTTCTGGGTCAGGAGGCGGGACTGGCGCAGCCGCTCCTCGGCGCTCAAGGCTCGTAATCGCTGCTTCAGTTCCGCCCGCAGGCTCCGCTTGGCTCCGCTCACCGCCGCCGCCGCCATCTCGCGCTGAAGGGAGCCCACACCTGGCCGCTCCCAGCTGGACTCACGGGTCGGCCAGGGAGCGGGCCTCGGGGCGCGCCCCCACTTCCGGGTTGCAGATGGCCACGCCCCTCCTGAGAGCCCCTGGTGCCGGTGGCCGTGACGGCCCCTGGGCCCGCCCCTACACTTGGCTCCGCCTCTAGTTTAGTTTTGCTCCTCTGATTGGCTCTGCCCGAATCTAGTTCCTAGATTCGCCCCTAGCCTAGCCCTACCTCCTCATATGGCTCCGCCCCTCGTAGAGCTCCACCCCCACGTTGCTTAACGCGAAGGAAGGACCTGTGGGCCTGCCTGGGTGAGGTTCGCGATCGCCCAGCATTCTGTCTTCTGCTGGGGGCTCGCAGCCAATGGACTGGACAGGTCATTGGGCAGCCAGAGGCTGGCCGGTCCCGGAGAAGGATACCTCTCACCTCTGGGAGACTTAAGATTCAAAGTGAGAGCTGGCGCGGGACATCCTAGCCTCAGGAGGCTGAGCTCTGAGGATCGTGGTTCAAAGCCAGTCCAGGCAGGAAAGTCCCTGAGACTCTTTTTTTTTTTTTTTTTTTTTGGGTCCGGTCGTGGGGCCTGAACTCTGGGTCTGGGCGCTGTCCCTCAGCTCTTCAGCTCAAGGCTAGCGCTCTACCACTTGAGCCACAGCTCCACTTCCGGATTTTTTTTTGCTTATGTGGTGCTGAGGAATCGAACCCAGGGCCTCGGGCATGCAAGGCATGCGCTCTATCACTAAGCCACCTTCCCAGCCCCTCCCTGAGACTCTTATCTCCAATGAACCACCAGAAAAACAGAAGTGGAGCTGTGGCTCAAAGTGGTAGAACGCTAGCCTTGAGTGACAGAGCTCAGGATGGCGCCCAGGCCCTGAGTTCAAGCCCCTTGACTGACAAAAAAAAAAGAAGGGATATACAAAGATTGGGAAGGATGTAGAGAAGTAAAACACTCATAGCCATGAGAACGGAAAATAAAGCAGAATTTTGGAAAAATAACTTGGCAGTTCCACAAAAAGTTAAATATAGAGTTAACCATATGACCTAGTAAGTAATTCCACTTTGATGTCTGTTCCTAAGAAAATAAAATGCAAGTTTACACAAAAATGTATAAATGAAGCAAGACACCAATGGCTTATATCTGTAATCCTAGCTTACTCAGGAGGCTGAGATCTGAGGATTGTTGTTTTTTTTTAATTTTTATTTTTTTATTGTGAAAATACTGTACAGAGGGGTTACAATTACATAGGCAAGATAATGAGTACATTTCTTATCAAGCATTGTAGCCTCCTCCTTTGTTTCCCCTTCCCATCCCTTCCCATCCTCCCCCCCCCCCAAGGATTGTTGTTTGAAACCAGCCAAGGCAGAAAAATTCATGAGACTTTCACCTCCAATTAACCACCAAAAAGATGGAAATGGAGGTATGGCTTAAGTGGCTGAGGGCCAGCCTTGATTAATGAAAGCTAAGCCCCACACACAAAAAAATGTGTATATGAGTGTTCATAATTTACGGTCTGGTTGTGGAACACCCTAGATTTACTTTTTTATTATCTTCAAAGAGTTGCACAAGAAGGTTCCAAGTTGACATGTCCACTTCTGTATACAGGGCCTCTTGGTCAGAGGCCCACTTCCGCCATGCTCCCCTCCAACACAGATTTTTTAACTGGTGAAGATACAGACAAATGTGATGTATCCCTGTTGAATTGGTAGCTCTTTTGTACAGCTATATAAAGATAATAAAATATAAAATTTTAAATCTGGTATATCTGTTCACTGGAATATTTTAAAACCATGAAAATGATGAAGAGTTGATATATCGATAGACCAGTAAATGGCTTACTGAGTAAAAAAAAAAAGGCAACATATTATATGACCATGTTTATGGGAAATGTCAAAAAAAACAGGCAATCACATAGAAACAAAGTGATGACAGGTTTGCCTGGGACTGGGGAGGGGGGAGGGGAATCAAGGAGAGGGTTTATACTAAAGTGATAAAAATCTTCTAAAGTTAAATTGTGGTGATAGCTGTACAACACAATGAATACTAAAAGCCATTAAATTGTTTTATGTGTGTGCACACAAGTAACCATTATTGGAGCTTTAATTCAGGGTCTGTAGGTACTGTCTTTTAGCTTTTTACTCAAGGCTAGTTCTCTACCACTTGAGCCACAGCTCTACTTCTGACTTTTTGGTGGTTCATTGGAGATAAGATTCTCAAAGACATTCTTTCCCTCTCTCGTATTAAACTTTGATGCTCAGAATTCAGACTCCTGAGTGATACAGCTTGGATTCTTAGAAACAGGAGAATGTCATATATACATGATGAACAAAAAATATTAGACAATTTTTAGAGAAGGATTTTTTTCTTTAGTTAGTTCAATACTGGGGCTTGAACTCAGGGTCTGGGCACGGTCCCTGAGCTCTTTTGCTCAAGGCTAGTGTTTTACTACTTGAGCCACAGAACCACGTCCTGTTTTCTGTTGGTTAATTGGAGATAAGAGTCTCACGGACTTTCCTGCCCACGCTGGCTTTGAACCCCAATCCTCAAATCTCAGCCTCCTGAGTAGGTAGGGTGATAGGTGTGAGCCTCCAGCGCCCAACTTATTAACATATTTTTATACAAGTGGAAGCAGGCATCATAAATGATGCATAAGCTCACCTAGCTTCTGTGAAGAAGGAATGAAATTCTAACCCAGAATCTCCAAAACTGCCATTGAATTTCCACCCCATCCCCTGTGTTCTCCATGGGCTGTGGGAGGGGCTGTAATCCATGGTCCTGTGTCGGCGTTCAGCATGGCCTGGCTGCAGCGGATCACTGAGCCAGTGGGTTGCAGGCCTTGCTAGGAGCCAGCGACCACCCACAGATGCCAGCGAAATCCCAAGCACCAATGGATTTGGACCTCTAATCCTAACTACTTAAGAGGCTGAAATCAGAGGATCTTGGTTCCACCAGTGTGGGCAGAAAAGCTTCTTATCTCCAATTAACCAGAAAAAAGCCAGAAATGGAGGTTTGGTTCAAGTGGCAGAGACAAGATTTTTTTTTTTAAGTGAGAATGTGAGGCTTTGAGTTCAAACCCAAGTACCAGCACAAAAAGAAAATATATATATATATATATATATATATATATATATATGTGAATATGAGACAGACACAGAGAGACAGCAACAGAAAGACAGAAGGGGCTAGGAGTGTGGCTTAGTGGTAGAGTGCTTGCCTAGCATGCATGAAGCCCTGGGTTTGATTCCTCAGTACCATATACATAGAAAAGCCAGAAGAGGTTTTGTGGCTCAAGTGGTAGAGTGCCAGCCTTGAACAAAAGACTGGCCAAATAAAGAAAGAGGAAGAGAAGAAGGAAGAGGAGGAGGAAGAGGAGGAGGAGGAGGAGGAGGAAGAGGGGGAGGAGGAAGAGAGAGAGGAAGGAAGGAAGGAAGGAGAGAGTAAGTCCTGTCTCCTGAAGCACTGTGGCACATTGAGGAGTGACTTGATAAACTAGTGCTGCAATCAGTGTAGGCTACCATACTACAGATAGAAAAGGCTGCATCTGGGCTCTGGTGGCTCACACCTGTCATCCCAGCTACTCAGGAGCCTGAGATCTGAAGATCACAGTTGGAAGCCAGCCTGGCAGGAAAGTTCATGAGATTCCCATCTCCAACCAGAAAACAGGAAGTGGTGCTGGGGCTCAAGGTGGTGGAGTGCTAGTCTCTACAGCCAATGTTGCTGGAGCCTCCTCGGGTTGTTATCACAGAGGATGAAAGTGAAGAACTTTACTCAGAAGAGAAATATCTGCCACATCCACTCATCTTCCCTAGGCAGCTCTCTGTGTTTTGGTGTGTCTTAAGCATCTTTTTTTTTTTTGGTATGCTGGCCCTAGGACACTGTCCCTGAGCTTCCTTTTGCTCAAGGCCAGTGCTTTCCCATGTGAACCACAGCTCCACTTCAGTCTTTTTTGGTGGTTAGTTGGAGAAAAGAGTCTCAGACTTTCCTGCCCTGAGCTGGCTCTGAACCATGTCCTCAGATCTCAACTTCCTGAGTAGCTAGGATTACAGGTGTGAGCCACCAGCATCTGGCCCTTCCCAGATGTTCATCCTAAATTAAACCTGTTTGTCTATTGCATTCACTTTTCCTTCCTTCCTTCCTTCCTTTTTTTTTTTCGGCCATGGGACTTGAACTCTGGGCCTGGGCACTGTCCCTCAGCTCTTCAGCTCAAGGTTAGCGCTCTACCACTTGAGCCACAGTGCCACTTCCAGCTTTTTCTGTTTATGTGGTACTGAGGAATTGAACCCAGGGCCTAATACATGAGAGGCAAGCACTATACCACCGAGCCACCTTCCCAGCCCTGCATTCACTTTTCTTCTCTTTTCCTTCACTCATACTCTGAATAATGGAAACATTTTCTTACAGCCTGTACATCCCACACCCACTGAAAGGGAGTCACTCCACACTCAAGCAGGGAGGGAGGGTGTTACAAGGTTTTATAAAAATAATTTGTTACTTAGAAGGCTGAGATCTTAGGATCACAATTCAAAGCTGGCCCAGGCCAAAAAAAAAAAAAAAAAAGCTGAAGGCAGAGCTGTGGCTCAAGAGATAGAACCCCCTAGGATCCTTTTCCGGTTCATAAGCGTGATGATTGGGTTCTCACACGCTTGCGTGACATGTGCTTCCCTCTAAACCTTGTTACGACGTGGGCACATTACCCTTCTGACGTGAAAAAAAAAAGAGATAGAACCCCAACCTTGAGCAAAAACACAAAGGGACAGCACCCAGGTCCTGAGTTCAAGCCCCAATGGTTTAATTGGAGGCAAAAGAGTCTCTTGAGCCAGATGCTGGTGGCTCTCACCTGTCATCCTATCTACTCAGGAGGCTGAAATCTGAGGATCATGTTTTAAAGCCAACCCAGACAAAAAAGTCTATGAGACTTTTATCTCCAATAAACCACAAAAAGCTGGAGGTGAGGCTGTGGCTCAAGTGGTAGAGCACCAACCTTTATCAAAGAACAAAAACAAATGAAACAAAAAAAAACATCAGTGACAGCACTCAGGCCCTGAGTTCAAGCCTTAGGCCTGGCACAAAGAAAAAAGGTCTCTTGGATTTGTCTGCCTGGGCAGTTGACTTCAAACTGAGATCCTTAGATCTCAGCCTGTTGAGAAGCTAGGCTGCCAGGGTGAGCCCACACACGTGGTAACAGTGTTTACAACACTGATATTTTTTCATATATACGTTATCTGGCTGTTTACACAGTAGTCATCGGCTGTCTCAGGGAACCCTAGTCATGGCTCTGATCTCATGGGAGCTGGTGTAGCTGGTGTCTGTTGCTTCTATGGGAGAAATTAGGGAAGAGAGGTTCACTCAGTCAGCTGTCTGGAGGATTCTGCCAGTGATCACAAGGCAAATGAATTGCAGGAAACCCATCAACCCTGTGGAAAGATGTGCTGATGATGTAACCCTGTTAGCATCTGCAATCAGAAATAACCAGAAGTGAAACTGTGGCTCATGTGGTAGAGTGCCAGGCTTGAGTGAAAAAAGTAAGGGGACACAGGCACAAAAATAATAGAACATAATAATCATAATCAGACAGTGGCCGCGATGTCTCATTGTGAGGACATGTTCAAGTTAGGAATAATGGAGAGGCAAGCCCGCACACGGACCAGTACCCACACACAGCTTCAGCCTGTCAGAGGGGAAAGGAGAGGACAGGGCCACATTGAGAGACCAAAGGAGAAAAGGGTAGAGGTCAGTGAAGCCAGGGTCACATGAGGCTTTTAGCACACACCATGCCTGGGACCTGGGGTGACTTTCTCACTGGCTTTCTTTAAGCCTTCTCAGTCGAATAGGGACAATGTCTATTCCAGATGCTGGCATGAGGAATGCAGGGCATCATGTATCTCAAATTCGTTAGTATGAATGAGGCTCTGGGGTTCAATTCCCAGCACCAAAATAAAATAAGCCAGGCACTAGTATCTCATGCCTGTCATCCTAACTACTAAGGAAGCTGACATCTGAGGATTGGCGTTCAAAGCCAGCCTGGGCAGGAAAGTCTGTGAGACTCTTGTCTCCAATAAACCATTCAGAAAACTGGAAGTAGTGCTGTGGCTCAAAGTGGAAGAGTGCTAGCCTTGAGCAAAAGATCTCAGGGATGACACACGGGCCCTTAGTTCAAGCCCCATGAAGCAATGACTAAATGAAATAAAATAATGCAGTGAACTAAAAGTCTCCAGAACAAGGACAGTAGCCAGCAAGCATTATTACTCTCACTTGTAAGATCTGAAGCTGTCAGCCTCAGGAAGTAAACTTAATCCAAAACCTAGTGAATGTTCATTTTCATTTACTTATTTGTATTGTCCCCCCCCCTTTTAGTGCCAATACTGGGCCTCAATCTATTCCTTTTAACTTTTCCACTCGAGGCCGGCATCTCTGCTGTTTGAGTCACTCTACTTCTAGCTTTTTGCAGTTCCTTGGAGATGAGAGTCTCAATATTACAGATTTTTCTTCCCAGGTTGGCTTTGAACCTGGATCTTCAGATCTCAGCCTCCTAGGTAGTTAAGATTGCAGGCCTGAGCTACCAGCACCTAGCTTAAACCATTTTTTTAAAAAATTTGTTTCAGAAGTAAATGAATAAATAAAACATACAGATTCAGTTTAAAAGTCCAGGTCACGGACCAAACTGGGAAGGGTGACTGATTACCCCATGTCACATTGCAAAAACCCCGGGGTGTGACAACCAGACTGTGTGGACTCTTGTGTAAATCTGTTCCAGGTAGGGAAACACGTACTGCACTTCCCTTTCTGTCATTCTATTGGTTCCTATCTCCCAGCTCTGATTAACCCAAATTGAATGAAAACAAAAAACAAGCAAGAGGTGGTGACTAACGCTTGTAAACCTAGCCACTCAAGAAGCTGAGCCAGGTGACGGTGGCTCATGCCTGTTCAAAGCCCACCCAGGTGGAAAAGAGCGTGAGACTCTTATCTCCAATTAACCACTAGAAAACTGGAAGGGGCGCTGTGGCTCAAGTGGTAGAGCACTTAGCCTTGAGCTGAAGGGCTGAAGGATAGTACCCAGGCCCAGAGTTCAAGCCCCACAACCAACAAAAACAAAAAGAAACTGAGATCAGAGGATCACAGTTCAAAGTCAACCTGGGCAGGAAGGTCCATGAGACCCTTATTTCTTAATTTACCAGAAAAATAAAAAGAAACAAGCAAACAAACAAGTAGAGGGAAGGGGTGCAAGAAGTGAAACACCAGCCTTGAGCAAAATGTTCAGGCAAGAACACAGAGGCCCAAGTTCAAGTCCTGAGGCGCGCACGTGCGCATACACACACACACACACACACACACACACACACACACACACACACACACAAATTAAACATGAGAAAGAGTCTATTATAGGGCAAGAAAACACCGCCACCTTCCTGCTCATCACCCCAACTTCATCCTGGTCCTTGACATCCAGCTCTGTGTTGGCTGAAGTTCTGAGCAGGCTTGAAAAAATGAAGACCAAAATCCAGAATGAATACAAATATATGGAATTTATTCATTTACATGGAGACAAGATGTACATCCTGTACAATGTACAAGTGAGGCAACAATACAAATGAATTGACTTTCCAAGTAAGTTGCATCACCAATGCTCTTTCAAAATAGTTTGAGAGCAGGTTTTTTGTTTTTGTTTTTTTGGGGGGGGGTCTGGTTATGGGGTCTGAACTCTGGGCCTGGGCACTGTCCCTCAGCTCTTCAGCTCAAGGCTAGCACTCTACCACTTGAGCCACAGCGCCACTTTCGGCTTTTTTTTCCTGCTCATGTGGTGCTGAGGAATCGAACCCAGGGCCTCAAGCATGCAAGGCAAGCGCTCTACCACTGAGCCACCTTCCCAGCCCCTGAGTGCTGGTTTTACAGGAGCTGTGGCCCACACTCCTGTGATCTTCCTGATAATCTTCATGGTCAGTAATATTGCTTCAGAAGAGAAAACATCTCAAAGAGATGCCCTGTAACTTCCAGAAATGTCAGCCAGCACGATTTTGTTTCAAATTTCTTCAAGAAGCCATTTTCCTAGGAGAGAATGAAATTTGCATTTGTAAAAAGCATTTGTATCTCATTACATTCACAGAAAAATAAAGGTGTTGCTTTCAGTCATAGAAGAAAGGAAGAAAGGAAAAAAGAAAGAAAAGAAAGAAAGGAGGGAAGGAAGAAAGAAAGAAAGAGAGAGCGAGAGATGGGGAAGGAAGGAGGGAAGGAGGGAGGGAGGAAGGGAAGGAGGCAAGAAAGAGAAGAAAAGAAAGAAAGCCAACCAGGTACTGATTGACTCATATCTGTAATCCTAGCTACTCAGGAGGCTGCAATCTGGAGAATCACAATTTAAAGTCAGCTGAGGCAGAAAAGTCTGTAAGAATCCATCTCCAATGAACTAGCACAAAAGCATGAAGGAAGGCCTGGCTCAATTGGTAGAACACCAACACTGATTACTAAGCAAGAGCACAATGCACTAGATATCAAGCCCTAGTACACACACACACACACACACACACACACACACACACACACACACACACAGAGTTGATCAAGCAGAACTCAAAGTCAGAAGAATTCTACAGTGTTGAAACTATCTTTACAATCAGGTCCACAACAAAAAGGGTAGCTGTACAAAATTGTGTAAGAAAGGCACTTCTGCCTACGTGCCCGGTGGGGTCACCACGAAGCACAGGCTGGCTAGCACGGCTGCCAGGGGATGCTGTTTCCTCTTTCCTGGAGATACATGCATGTTTCCCCCACACTCGTGGCACTCAGAGGCTTCATGACGCTCATGCTCTCTCCTGACAATGACTGTGTCGTGGGTGGGCCAGGCAGAGGCCATGTCAGCATGTTACATTCATTCCACTTCCTAAGGGGTCATGAATGAAAGTCACTTAGCCGCATGAAGGGGAAAAGATATTTTCACAAACTAGATACCAATAAAGAGAAGCATGGACTAGGAAAATACATCCGCCATTTAAGAATTTGTGCAAATGTAAGAGACTGCCATCAAGTGTTGTCATGAAAGAGGAGGAGGCCTTTGAAAAGAGAAGCAGCCAAGGTACTAGTGGTTCATGCCTGTTATCCCAGCTACCCAGGAGGCTGAGATCTGAGAATCGTGGTTTGAAGCCAGCCCAGACAGTAAAATTCATGAGACTCTTTTTTTTTTTTTCTGGTCATGGGGCTTGAACTCTGGGCCTGACCACTGTCCTTCAGCCCTTCAGCTCAAGGCTAGTGCTCTACCACTTGAGCCACAACACCACTTCCAGTTTTCTGAGTGGTTTATTGGAGATAAGAGTTTCACGGACTTTCCTGCCTGGGCTGGCTTTGAACCATGATCCTCAGATCTCAGCCTCCTGAGTAGTTAGGATTAAAGGCATGAATCACCAGTACCTGGGCTTCCATGAGACTCTTATTGCCAATGAACCAACAAACTGCCAGAAGGAGAACTGTGGCTCAAGTGGTAGAGCGCCAGCCTTGAGTGATAAAGGTAAGGGACAGCATCCAGGACCTGAGTCCAAACCCGAGTATACACATAAGCATGCACAAGCGCACACACACACACACACATGTCCCTTGGCATTGGAGGCTTGGCTCAGGTGGTAGGGCACCTGCCAATGAACAATAAGTGCAGATACTAAGTTTGAATGCCAGGAGAGTGAGAGAGCAAAAGAACAAGAGAGTGAGAGAGAGCGAGAGAGCAAGAGACAGAGAGAGAGAGAGACAGAGACACACAGAGAGAGAAAGAGAGAGAGAGAGAGAAAGCCTTTAGCCAGGCACTGGTGGCTCATACCTGTTATTCTACTACTACTCAGGAGGCTGAGATCTGAGAATCATGGTTCAAAGCCAGCCCAGGCCAGGAAGGTCCATGAGACTCTTATATCTAATTAACCACCAGAAAAGCGGATGTGGCACTGTGATTCAAAGTGGTAGAGCACTAGTCTTCACAGATGAAGCTTAAGAACAATGCCCAGGCCCTGAGTTCAAGCCTCAGGACTGATTTAAAAAAAAATAAAAAGACCCAAGTTTTAACAGTCAGGATCCTTGGGAAGTACCACAATTCTGTGTAGCTCCTGGCTTTCACAAGGGGCTTTCTGTTGGTATTCATAGGAACTGTGAGAGTTTATCTTTAAACATTTTGGAAGTTCCCATACAGCCTTATAATTGCTTCAAACTGTGACCAAAATGTTTTCAAGCATGAAACTCCCTCCCACAGAAACTGTTACCATTGTCATTTCTGAATGTCATGGGCTTCCTTAATTTAACCACAAGGATATGCCCACAGAAAGCCCACCAGCAGGGTACTCTCTCCCCACCTCTGCACGGGCCAGCTTTCCCTTTGCTTGAAATCAACAGTGCAGCTCAGATTTCCCCGAGTCCTTCAGAGAGCTTCCCATTACCATCCCATAGAAAACATGACCAGGAGATCAGGTGCTGTGCTGCCTCATGCCTGTAGTCCCAGTTACTCAGAAGGCTGAGATCTGAAGATTGCAGTTTGAAGCCAGGCCAGGAAGAAAGTCTGACAGACTCTTATACCAACGAACTAACAGAAAGCCGGCAGTAAAAGTGTAGCTCAAGGGATAGAGTGCCAGCCTTGACCAGAAAAAGCTAAGAGAGAGCATGCGGTCCTGAATTCAAGCTTCAGTGACAACTCATACATGTACACACATACACACACACATACACACACACATACATGTACACACATACACACACACATACACACACACACACACACAAATACTAACAATGCATGACCAAATATCTCACATGATCCTCCCAGCCCTGAGTAAATCTGAGCTACAAAGCCCTGCTACGGGAAGATTAAAATGACTGAGAAATGGATAGGTGTGGCAAAGCCCACAATGAAACAAGAAGGCCTCCAACAAAAGAGGAAAGGCATCAAATGGAAGATTAGTAACTTTGACTGCATCAAATTTTTAAACATTTATAGGAGCTGGGAATGTGGCTTAGTGGTAGATTGGTTGCCTAGCATGCATGAAGCCCTAGGTTCTATTCCTCAGTACCACATAAACAGAAAAAGCCAGAAGTGGTGCTGTGGCTCAAGTGGTAGAGTGCTAGCCTTGAGCAAAAGCAGCTCAGGGACAGAGCCCAGGCCCTGAGTTCAAACCCTGCACTGGTGGCGCACACCTGTCACCCCAGCAACTCAGGAGGCTGAGATCTGAGGACTGCAGTTCAAAGCTAGCCTGGGCAGGAGAGTCTGTGAGACTCTTATCTCCATTAAACTACAAGGTTAAGAGAAGAAAAAGCCAGAAGTGGTAATGTGTGGCTCAAGTGGTAGAGCACTAACCTTGAGCAAAAGAAACCCAGGGACAGCACCCAGGCCCTGAGTTCAAGCCCCAGGACTATTGTTAAAAAAATTTACTAAAATAACATCTACACTAAACCTCCCAAAGAGAATAAAACTCCTAGGCTGGGCATGCTGCTGTTGGTTTGTTCACACTAGCATTCCTGTGATGGAATTGAGAACAGTGAGATTCTCCTGGTGTACCTACCCAGCCTCCGTTCTGCTTCATCCAGTCCCCGGCAGTGCTCATGATAAACTCAGCCACGAAGAACGAAATGTGCTCAATGTCCATGCTCCGGGCCACCTGCCCTGGGGGCAGCTTCTTGATGAGCACCCCGGAGAAAGCAAAGATGGTCACGATTCGTCCCCAGTTTATGACCCCATCCTCAAATTCCCCTGCCATTACTTGGTTAAAGACAGTTCTGGCGGCCTCCAGAGAGGCCACGGGCAAGCTGTCCAAGTAGCCCTTCATATTCTCTTCCACCTTTTCTTGGACTGAGGAAGCCAGGCTGCGAAGGACTTGGGAGGTTTTGCTGGGCTCAGATCCTGAGGTAGAAGTCTGCAGGACGAACTGCAGGTAATCCTGCACCAGCCTGTAGGTCAGGGCCAGCTCGGTGTCCATCATCTTCCCCCAGTGTGTGTTGCTGTCGGCCACCCAGAGAAACTGAGGATCCCAGAGCTTGCTGAGGCTGCGGCACATTTTAATCATTCAGGGTAGGTGGAATTTCTGCTTTCATGACGTTACAATATCCTTCCTCTTTGTGACTTTCCTGTGAAGGGTGTAGTGAAAGAAAAAGTTTAAATCATACAAAAGGGGGAAAAAATTGTCAGACAGAAGTCACTTCCTCATCCGGTATTTCATTGGGTTACAAAGCCAGCAACCTCAGCAAAGGCACTGCAGATAGCTCATCCCTATAATCCCAGCTATTCAGAAGGCTGAGATCCAAGGATCTGTGTACTAAGCCAGTCCAGGTAGGAAAGTCCATAAAACTCAATCTCCAGTTGAATAGATAAACAAACAAACAAACAAACTGGAGCCAGGCACTGGTGGCTCATCCTTGTAATCCTAGCTGCTCAGGAGGCCGAGATTTGAGGATCATGGTTCAAAGCTAGCCCGGGCAGTCTCTTATCTCCAATTAACTGCCCCCAAATCAGAAAAAATCAGAAGTTGCACGGGGCTCAAAGTGGTAGAGCAACATCCCTGAGAACAAAGAGCTCAGATACAGTGCCCACAACTGACAAAATAATAATAATAAAAGTAAAAATAAAATTGGAAGTGGAGGTGTGTGGCTCAAATGGTAGAGCACCAATCTTGAGAGAAAAAACTAAGGGAGAGCTTGTAGCCCTGACTTAAAGCCCAAGTACAAACACACACACACAAACACACACACACACACACACACACAGAGTATTAATGTGAATTAAATGGAGGAATTTGGATCCTTTTAACTTGATGATATATTTATTTGCACAACTCCTGTGAAACTCTTCGGCAGTTCCTCCAAAGAGTTAAATATAGAACTACTGAAATAACCAGTGTTTTCACTTGTGGATTTGGAAATTGTTAAAGTCATGTCAATGCAAAATAGTAATACTGAGCTAGACACCCATGGTTTACACCTGTAATCCCAGCTACTTGGGAGGCTGAGATCTGAGGATCTCGGATTGAAGCCAGCCCAGGCAGGCAAGTCCATGAGACTCTTATCTCCAATAAACTAGCCAAAAAGCCAGAAGTGTTGCTGTGGCCCAAGTGGTAGAGTTCCAGCCTTGAACAAAAGAGGCTTGGGGACAGTGTCCAGGCCCTGAGTTCAAGCCCCAGGACCAGTACCAAAAAAACAAACAAAAAAAGCAATACTGGTACAATGCTTACTCAACCAAATTGCTTGAGGAACCGGAACTTCAGAAAAAGCCCACAAGCCTGCCTTTTCTTACCTGTAGCAGGTTTTATTTGTGTCTGTTTACATTTTATTAGTGCTTATTAACCATACATGTTTCATTACAACATTTCCATACAAGCATATAGCGTTCTCTGCTCATACTCCCCCATCCCCTTCTCCTATCCACCCCTCCCCCACACCCCTTCCTAATTTCATGTTCCCCTTTCTAATTTCATGTTTTTTGGTTTTCCTTTCCACCCACCCTAGGTTGTCCATATGAGAAAAATTAAAAAAAAAAAACCACCATGTGACACTTGCCTTCCTGAGTCTGCCTTGTTTCACTGAAATAAGCTGATCTCAAGTTCTGTCCCTTTTCCTGCAAACAACAGGGTTATGCTCTTCTCCAAGCCCTGTGGAAGCAGGCATGGAGGGACACTCTGTAGTCCCAGCCACTTGGGAGGTGGGGGCAGGGTGATCAGAAGTTTGAGACCAAACTGATACCTGCCATCCCAGCCACTCAGGAGGCTGCTATCTGAGGATAGTGGTTCCAAGCCAGCCCAGACAGGAAAGCCTGTGAGACTCCTATGTCCAAGTAACTAGCAAAAAGCCAGAATTGGAGCTGTGGCTCAAAGTGATGGAGTGAGGGCTGGGAAGGTGGCTCAGTGGTAGAGCGCTTGCCTTGCATGCACGAGGCCCTGGGCTCCATTCTTCAGCACCACATAAGCAGAAAAAATAAAAAAAAGCCGGAAGTGGCTCAAGTGGTAGAGCGCTAGCCTTGAGCTGAAGAGCTTAGGGACAGCACTCAGGCCCAGAGTTCAGGCCCCACAACCGGACCCCCCCAAAAAACCCAAAACATTATTTGTTGAACAACAACAAAAAAAAGCTCAGGCCCTGAGTTCAAGCCCCAGAACTGGCAGGAGCTTCCCCCCTCATCCCCAATACACAGATCGCGATCAACCCTTGAAGAGTTAGTGAGCCCCTATTACAGAATAAAGCTGGGCACCAATGGGTAACACCTGTAATCCTAGCTACTTGGAAAACTGCGATCTAAAAACTGTGGTTCAAAGTCAGCCTGGACAGGAAAGTCTATGTGACTCTTATCTCCAATTAGACTTAGACCAGCACAAAGTCAGAAGAAGAGGTGACCATGGCCAGGCCCTGAGTTCAAGACCTAGTACCAGCCTGTGCACGTGCATGTGAAGTGTGCACACGCACATGCGCGCACACGTACACATACACACAGAAGAAAAAGAAAAAAATTAAGTGAAAACAAGAGATCCAGGATAGAGGGTAGCTTAAATGGTGAAGAGTTTGGCTAGCAAGTATGAGACCTGTGGTGCAATTTCCCAGACCAAAATAACTAAAATACCATGTTGATTGTTTAGGGAGGGATAGTTCTCACAGGCCAAGATATTAAAGTAGCCTAGCTCACCAGAGCCCAGAGCCCAATTTTACTCTGAAATAATGCATACCTTCTACTCCTTCCTTCCTACCTTCCTTCCTTCCTTCCTGCCTTTCTTTTTTGGCTGGTCTTGAGGTTTGAACTCAGAGCCTAGGAGCTGTCCCTGAGCTCCTTTTGTACTACCTCTTGAACAACAGTGCCACTTGTGACTTTTTCTGCTCAGATCTCAGTCTCCTGAGTAGCTAGGATGACAGGCATGAGCAACCAGTGCCTGGCTCTTCCTCTAGTTTCTACATTCTACCATCACCATTATTCATTTCCCACCCTCTTCCCCGCTGCCCCCCCCCCATGCAGGTAGTAGGGCTTGAACTCAAAGCCTCAAGCTCTTCCTTAGTTTTTGTGCTCAAGGCTGCTGCTCTACCACTTGAGCCATACCTCCGTTTTCAGCTTTTTGCTGGTAATTGGAGATAAAAAGTCTCACAGATTTCCCTGCTCTTGCTGGCTTCGAACATCAATCTTCATATCTCAGCCTATTGATTGGCTGGGATTACAGGTATGAGCTTCCAGCTCCCAGCCATGAATCTCTTCACAAATTCCTACAGCTTACTAACCTAGCCTAGATAGCCATGAGTTCTTTCATTTCTTCACAAATGTCATGTCCTTTGTCTGAAAATTATAAGAGCATCTTGTGTTTAGACTTTGTGCTTGTGAAGACTCCATGTAAAAAATTAAACTTTTGGGCTGGGAAGGTGGCTCAGTGGTAGAGTGCTTGCCTCACATGCATGAGGCTCTGGATTTGATTCCTCAGCACCACATAAACAGAAAAAGCTGGAAGTGGTGCTGTGGTTCAAATGGTAGACTGCTAGCCTTGTGCTGAAGAGCTCAGAGACAGCGCTCAGGCCCAGACTTCAAGCCCCATGACTGACAAATAAAAATAAAAAAAATAAACTTTTTTTTTTTCAGTTGTAGGGCTTAAACTCAGGGCCTGGGCATTGTCCCTGAGCCTCTTTGTGCTCAAGGCTACCACTCTACCACTTGAACCACAGTGTCACTTCCAACTTTTTGTGAGTGGTTTATTGGAGATAAGAGTCTCAAGGACTTTTTTGCCCAGGCTGGCTTTGAACTGCAATCCTCAGATCTTAGCCTCCTGAGTAGCATGAGCCACCAGCGCCCGGCTTAAAATTAAACTTTGTTTTTTTCTTTTACTTGTCAGCCCTTACATTAGTTAAGGTCCTCAAGCTAACTAAAGAGCAGATATAAAACCTAAGGGGTGCTGGTGATTCACGCCTGTCATTCTAGGTACTCAGGAGGCTGAGCTCTGAGGATCATGGTTTGAAGCCAACCCAGACAGGAGTCTTAAAAACTGATTTCTAACTAACCACTAAAAAGCCAGAAGTGGAGCTGTGGTAGAGCACTAGCCTTGAGGAAAAAAGCTCAAGAGAAGTGCCCAGTCCCTGAGTTCAAGACCCAGGACAGCCACAAATACACACACACACACACACACACACACACACACACACACACACACACACACACACGGAGAAGAAGGTCCCCAAAACTATTGGAAGCAGGTGCTTAGAGACTTATCATGAATATTCATAGCATTGTTTCTAAGCAGGACAAAGTTCATTTATTGGATGAATAGATATACAAATTATGAGACAGTATTCAGCCATTAAAAAGGGATGCTGGTGCCAGGCACTGGTGACTCACGCCTGTCTTCATAGCTACTCAGGAGGCTGAGATCTAAGAATCATGGTTCAAAGCCAGCCCAGGCAGGGAAGTCCCTGATTCTCTCTTATTTCCACTAAAAACTACCACACAAAAAAAAAACTGGAAGTGGAGCTCCAATGGCAGAGTGCACAAAAGCTCAAAAGCATGAAAGCTCAGGGACAGCACCTAGGTCAAAAGTTCAAGCCCCAGGACTGGAAAAAAAAATGCTGTTACTGATGTATGCTACAGCCTATTGATGACCTTCAACAACAAAGGAAAGCCAAATGAAAGGAGGTGAAGAAAAAGTCAGCTACTCCCCAGTTCGGTTTATGGGCAGCACTGGCTGAGGGGAACTGTTACAGTTTCATTCTATGTGACTCAAAATACCCCTCAATGGCTCACTTTAAAAAGGTCACTGAACATTGTCCAAAAAAATAAAGAAATGTATTCTTTACCCAACTTATGTAGTTGTAACCACTCTGAATGTCTCCTTTATAATAACAATTAAAAATTTAAAGTAAAAAACCAAACATTTAAAAAAAACAAAAAAGGATCATTTAAGTCAAGCACTGGTGGCTCATGCTTATAATTTAGTTACTCAGGAGGCTGAGATCTGAAGATCGAGGTTCAAAGGCAGCCTGGGCAGAAAAATCTATCTCCAATTAACCAGGAAAAAAAAAATCCAGAAATGAAGCTGTGGCTCAAAGGATAGAGTGTTACCCTTAAGCTTAAAAGTTAAGGAAATCGACCAGGACCTGAGTTCAAGCTCAGTACCA